ATTGCAGTGTGTTGAATTATGTAAATTTTTTGTTAGTTAATCCGAATTTCAGGCAAGAATTATATTAAATATTAAATTTGGAAAAATATTGCGAATTAGGATGTTTCGAGTGTGGTGAGTACAGGTGAGTATGGTGAGTTGTATAATGGCAAGTGTGTTGAGTTGGGATTGTAATGATTGTATAAGAGTGGTACAAACAATATACAAATATAGTATAAGAGTTGTGGAAGTAAATCATATATGTTATGTATAAGTGTTGTATAATTATTTCATGTGTGTGAGTAAGTGTTATATAGGTTATACATAGTTGTATAAGAGTTGTATAAGTAAATCATAAATGTTATTTACAGGTATACAAATGTTGTGTTCAGGTTATATACACGTGTTGTAGAAGTAAATTATAGGTATTATATACAGGTAAATACATTTCGTATATTTTTATTTAAATTATAAGTGTTATTTACAGATATAAATGTACATGTTGTGTATAGGTATTATACAGGGTATATGCAAATGTATAAGAGTTGTAAAAATATATTATAAATGTTATATACAGGTATATTAATGTTGTGTATAAGTGTTGTATAAGAGTTGTGTGAGTATAATAAACCATATGTATGTTTATGAGAATTGTATAAATTTGTATAAGAGTTGTATATGCATTGTATAAGTGTCGAGAACGGCGATGAATGAGCGTGAGCATTGTATAAGTGTTGTATAAGAGTTGTTATAAGAGTTTCGAAAAAACAGGTGCATTGGAAATAGAATTTGGTGCAAGATATTTCGAATTAGTTATAAGATATAGTAAAGAATCAGACAGTGGATAGTGTTGGGAAATATTGAGAAGGAAACATTGACGTAGATACAATATGATTATGATGCACAAGACCAATTGGAGGGCCAATTATATTTGATGGTGTAATCGAGAGAGGTGAGTATGCGTAAGGCAGCAGGTGGCGTCCAGGGTATTGGAGGCAAGGAATGCCAATTATCAGAAAGCATTGAAGCGAGTCGAAAATCAAAAGAACAGAGGAAAAACAAAAGAAAAGATAAAAGTATTTTGTTGTTGTTGTTGGGGAATTGAAGGACAACACAACATGGGCAAAGACAAGAACGATAATGATAACGGTAACGATAACGATAACGATAACGACAGCAGAGCACCCCCATACATAATGGGTAGACACAATTTACATATGAACAGATCACACATCATATAATATTTCCATATCAATCAAATGTACATACATATATATCATATAAGATATACGATATACATACATATACATATACATATACATATGTATATATCAGGTATAGAGTACGTAAGTTTGAGAGGTTAGTTAAGGCGTGCGACGTGCGTTATTTGCGTAGTTTTATTGTAGTAGAAGAGTTGTTGGTAGCCAAGTTTCAAGTTTTGTATTAGCAAGTATATATTACGGGAAAAAACAGGCAGTTACGAGGTTACGTAATGTTACGTAGGAGCGCAGCCAAGACGTTAGTTAGTAGTTAGTATAAAGATGCGTGGGAGTGTGTGTGTGTGTGTGTGTTTATTATATACGGATAATCAGATATGTTTACAAAATAGAGCGTATAGAGTGTGTAAGAGAAAGAAATAGAGAGAGAGAGACAAAGGAGAGAGAGAGAAAAAAAGAACACGCATCGATATTGTTGCATTGCATTATATGAAAACTCTTACTCGAACAATCTGTTGATGAGATCCACTTCTTTTTGTCGTCCGGATTCAGTTGGTTCGTGTTCTTGTTCCGTATGGATCGGCCCCAGCCAGCGGTGATCGTGCCAAGGCGTGAGAACGCCCGCTTCACCATCGGCGACGAGGGCACACTCTTTGGTCGTATCGAGTCCGAGTCGGGCACGGTCAAATAGTTGTTGCTCTTCGGCTTTTGGTTCTGCGGCGAGACGAGCGACGGGGCAGGTCGGGCAAAGATCTCGGCAACTGGTATCTGCGGGGATCCAAAGCCAGTCTGAATGCCATAAAGCATTTCCTGTAATATAGATACAGATATAGATATAGATATAGATATAGATATAGATATAGATATAGATATA